AGTCAGAGTTTCTACGCCTTCAGTGTCTTTTTGCCAAGTGAGACCAAAAGTAACCTTTCAATTTTGTGCACCGAAAAATCTGCTTTCTTGCCCTTTGGTTCCTTTAGAATTGCTTGTTTTCGCGTAGAAACTGTAATTTTAATCGTCCCTCCCCCAAAAAAAAAAGTTTTAACTGTAATTGGTGATTTATGATTTTCTATATCTTTCAGTTTTTAATATAGATATTTTTAGTTTTCATGTATTTTTGCCTTGTTGCGAAGTGAGAACTGAATTAATTGAATGAGAAATAAATCTCTAATGAAATTCGAGAAAATAAGTTTTAATGAAATGCAGGAAAAAATGCGTATAATTTAATATTCCGTAAAAGGAAATCATGAGGTGTACACATCAGATTTTTTTTTTCTTGCATCGCAGGCTGTATGGAAATGAGATATTTTAAAAATTGAAGTTTGACTAAATATATACATCCGTTTATAAAAAGTATGAAAGCTTTCATATTTTATATTACGCTCAAAGAGGCATTTGTTTAACGTTTTGTGTGTTACCTTTGTTTATTAAATGTCATGTTCTTCGCACTTAAATTATAAAATTCAATTCAATAGCAATATCACAAAATATTTAAAAACAGGAAGTTTTAGAATTTCGAATACACAGTCTCGCGCTCTGGAGATAAAAATGTTTATTCTTCGTACAGTGTTGTTAGTACTCGCTTTGGAGTCGTTGAGTTTGTTAATTAAATATTCATTAAAATTTTACAGAATAATTAATACAATATAAAAGAAATATAATTTAGACTACGAAATGCTTGCTTTCGAGTGGAGGACTACGTTATTCAGAATTTGATGTTTTTAGGTTCCGTTGTTTTTAAATATTCACGCATTCATGCAGATTCTTTATTATTTAGTTTCTTTAAATATAATACATGGAGATAATATTTGGTGGCAACAGTTTGAAAAGTGAAACAACGCACACAGTGAAATGACGCAAAATGCCGTTTTTGAGACTAATAGCTCTTTGGGTCTAACGCCCGTTTGGGCTAAAAAAAATTCTTAGAAAAACAATACTTAAATTATTGTTAATACAAACAATCAAAGAATTCGAAAAGGAAAAGTTATAAGGTATTTCTTCCACCTTCCTAGCATGCCTTCGTGGTGTAGTGGTTCTGCACGCTGGGCCTGTATTCCAGAGGTCCGCGGTTCGATTCCCGGCGGGGGCGTTGCTAATTTTTCATCTTGCCTGCTCCCAAAAAATAACCTAATGTCTCTACAAAGTGTCAAGAATGCCTGCTACCATCATATAAACTGAGACTATGAGACTGCAATAAATATTTATTATTACCTGAGAATATACACTGCTGGCCATTAAAATTACAACACCAGAAAGGGATGATCTGACGAACGTCAAAATCACATGAAAAGAAAAAGAGAATAGGATATGCAAAATGATTAGTATTGCAACGCATTTAGAAGACACAGAAGGGAGAAACGACATATGAAGCACTGCGTGAAAGATAAGTTGTTTAGTGGAATTTCTCATCCGGAAAGAGTTTTGTCAAGACTAAGCACTAGCATTTCGTCAAGAAGCGAAACATAAAAATCTACATCCTAGTCGCTTTTTTCCAAAATCAGGAGCCATTTTATGTTTCCGATTATGCGTTCGTCTACAGGCTGAATTAGCATGCAAGAAAACATTCTTAATCCGTTCTAAGTTTTCGACATCTGTACGTGCAGTGCAACTGTCAATCGAGAACAGACGCTTTGATTTTCTGACTGAAAGGTCTTCATCCCACTTTCTTAAATCTTCTTCAATCGGCTCCAAAGTCATCCATGCCTTACGATTGACTTTATCGAAAACAAAGAGAATTATACCTGTTCATTTAAGAATGTTGGGTTTTGAGAGATTTTTCCAGTCACTTAAAACCTAAGATTCCATTCAGATTGGCTTACACAAGAACTGCAATTTGCAATTTTGATAATATATAGCATGCGAATTTTTGGTCTTGAAATTTTAATTTTTCTTTTCGCAAGAGACATCATTCCATTTCTTTTTTCTCGTTTCTTCACATCAAATTTGAAACACTTACTGGCTCTTCTATGTAGCTGCGTTTCTAAACGTATCCAATCAGCCATTTGAGTGCAAAAAGGCAACCATTTGAGCAAAATCCCCCGACAAAATCGCAAAGAGTTTGGGAAACTCAATAGCATTTGTTTAAAACATTTCTCCAAACAATGGAAGATACTGGCTTCTGTGAAGGATGAATTATTTCCGTAATGCTACTTCAACATTTCAATGATCAGCTTTTCTTAACTTTTCTATGTAACCTAAATTTTTTAATAAAAATTATCGAATCGAGAAAGTTCCCATATGGAACCAAAGGCAAAAGGATATTCTTGGCAAATACCAACTTGGTTACCAACATTCTCCTTATATCGAACAATGGTTTGAAGATAACGTTTTACAGTTCTCCATATGGTCGAATTTTTGACACAGAAAAGTTTTCTAAGTGGAAAGAGCTAGGTCAAAGAATATGTAAAGTTCCTTTCATCTTGAATAGTTGGAAAAGAAGATTATTTCACCCCTAAAATCTGTCCTAATACTATAATATCTAACGAGAACGCCTGCATTTTCCCGGATGTACATGACTGCAAAGCAGAAGTAACATACCATGATAAAGAATATCCTAAATCATTCAGAAGAAAGACCTAAATACGGAACACTTCCCATTCAGAAAATGGAAATTAAACAATGTTCTAAATATTGGTACAAAAGAAACCAATAAGGATAAAGTATATTCCATTCCGTAAAATTCAAATACCCACTCGCCACTCCAAACAAATCTACTGCAATACTATGGCAAACGTTCACGACGAAGATTTGCTACCAATGTTTTAAAGGTATTACCTAACTTTCTTCTTTTGCTAAACTATGAAAAAGCAGTGAAATTCGATTATTACAGCCAAAACCAACACCAAAAGCGATGGTTTTTCGAGTTATTTGGATAATTATACCACGTGTGCTAACCCTTTGATTAGGGTGACAGGTGACAGGTGACAGGTGACGGAGGACGGGGACGCCTGGCGTCTAACAGAGGTAAACAGGCATATGTCCCACACCCTCCCCTATCCAGCCGCAACAACTCCCTGTGGCCACATAAGGACGCACCGGAAGTTTATCGATACTTCAATATAAATTACTACTTACTCATAAATTACTGCCTACTGATAACAAATAAATTCTGCTTTTTCGTAAATTATCGCATACACATAAGTTACTGCTTGTGCTTGTACCTGAATTACTGCTTACACATAAATTACTGCTTACACATGAAATACTGCTTACTTTGATTTTGATTAGGGTGCAAAGATAAGCATTTGCATAAACTTGCACATATGGACGCCCACCCAGATTTACATAGTAATGCTTTTTCGTCTTCATGGTCAGTGGCGTAAATAAGGGTATGCAAGGAATGCCGTCGCATACGCGCCCGAAGGCTTAGGGTATCTTGAATGTCCTGCTGAACTACATTTATAAATTTAAAAAGAAAAGGATATATATAATAGAATCCGTTTTCTTTTAAGTTTTTAAGGGCCCCCTACCTGTCTTATATATATATATATATATATATATATATATATATATAAAAGATGAACGTGGTACTCAGTAAATAAACTTAACACATAAAAATGAAATAAAATAATTAAAACACACACGAAGAAAAATCGTTAGTCATCTGTCATCTTACTAAAACTGAATATTGATATAATGAACTTTAAATATATATATATATATATATATATATAAATGTATGCCAACACTTAACATTGCTTTGGAAAACATATGCTGCTATTCAGCGTTTAAAAATTTTGCGCTTGTGATGTTGAGCTGTATGTGGCATAAGTGCGAAGAAATCGATGGTTAATAATAAAGCTAAAAAAGACAGAAAAAAATTCAGGCTGACAGGAATGAGTGCGATAGCAGACTGTTGAATTGTGTGCTCAGAGAGAGCGTAAAAAACCTCAGCAAAGCCTTTTGGGTAGCCGTTAAAATCTAAAAACCCTTCAGATTTTTCCTTTCCCCTCCTTTTTTTCGAGTACTGAAAATTTTTGGGTAGCTCCAAGAAAATATTTTGCATACAGGAGTTCTAGTTACGCTACTGTTCCAGTTCCTAAGAATTCTAGTTACGCTACTGTTCACAAAGAACAAATAGTTGACAGCAAACACCCTTCCAGCATGGGTGCAGCTGCCAACAGGGACGTCTTCTCAGAAGCATAAAAAATAGAGGGTTATTAGAAAAAGAAATAGTACAACTTTTTAAATTACATTACTTTATGTAATTTGTGTCGTTAAATGTCTTACATATTCATTGATAATTTTTAGAATTGCAAAAATGCTAGATATTATATTTCAAAACTGGCAAAAGAAGTTTGATTTTATTTATCATAAAATTCCTACTTACGATTTTTCTCATTTAAATGTTACAAATTTGTGGTTAACTGACAGCTTTTACATTTTCAGCAAAACTTGTGCAATGCATTTTCTTACTGTATATGGCAAAATAAACTTGATCTGAAAAATAAATATAATATTGAAGTATTACTGTCCAATTTAGGGTAGAACAGCTTGAGGAAAAAAAAATGGAGTTTACGCACTGATATTGCCATTGCCTCAAATCTTACGTAATACACGAAGTCTTTCTTTGTGATATTTATTGAAGTTTATATTGCTAAAAAAGAATATAATGGGAGTGAATGGTATTTGCTTTTTTCTGCACAGTTCTTGGTTACTTTTATATGACTTTTATTTTTACCAAAAATCAATCTTCTTAGGGAAATCAGATTCTTAAATGCTTAAAGAGTATATTCTTTTGTTTAAGATAATTCATTTATTTTCCAGAAGACTTCAAAGTACCCTTCTGCGAAGATATCTATATTCTTTGCTACCTGAGAACGAAAACGTTTGATGCCAAGAAAGCTGCTGAACTTTTCTACCGGGGTGCATAGTTCGTTGATTCACATCGGAAATTTTTTGAGAGACTAGACTGGTCTGCAGTAGTGCGACGATTTCTTCAAGCTAATGTAATAGGCTTTCTTCCTTACAGAGACAGCAAAGGCAGTGCCCTCCTCTACCTCAAAGCTGGTAAAGTCTATTAGTAGCACTCTCAAAATTTCGGCAGTATATTGTTGTAACTTATCTCATTTGTCTGTCCTACTCCGAAATATTCATGAATTTTAGTATGGCAAAAGACGCAAGATTGCATCGATCGTTGGCATGGACTTAAAGTACGATAACAGTACGACTTTGCTCAGTTTCACCCCAATTTTGATGGAGCACTTCGCGGTACAGATCCGAATGTCTCTCATACCTTTTTCTTTACCATCAAAACACTCGAAAATATTTTTGACTCACCGTACATTTTGAGTAACATCATATTGCACAGACAATATATTTACGAAAGTATATGTTTTTTTCATTATTCGATCCCGAACCAAACAAAAACTACAGTAGCCAAAAGTATTAATCACAGTACCGACTGGGACGGCTAGTGAGTATGTATTCAGTATGATGGCTATCGGAGGATTCGATTTATTGCTTTTGCAAAGGCCGATTTTATTCATACTCAAGGGCAGGTGTCTAGAAAGATGATAGTTCATTAATGAAATTTCGTAATCAGATTACGAAACTTATATGTTAATTGGCATATTTAAACACTGTTTCATCATATTTTGAAAAATTTATTAAACTTTTTCGAAGTAGGAAACATACAATTCCTCCTAAGGATTTGTATTCCGAATCTTCTGATCGCCAAATCTGGTTGTGTTATCACGTGCATCACATGAACATACAGAGGGTAAGGCAAAAGCTACTTCCACCACCACCACCAATTTAAAGGGTGACTGTAGAGGGAGGAGATCCGATTGCCAAATGAAGATGGTAATGAATATGTTCATTTATTTTTTTATCTGGACCAGCATGTAAATATGTTTTTTTTTAGGCTTTTCGAAGAATAGAACACGAAAAATCATCTATGAGTTATTCAAATTTCAAAATTTACGTTTCAAGTCAATAGAAAGATTGCCCTTTGTTTGTTTAGTTGATTTGCTACTTTATGATTACAAGCATAACTAATGCTTTCTTTGCTTTTTTTTTTCGCCTACAGTTATTATTTTCTTTCTAAAAAGTATTTTAGGATTCCTTTTTATAATTTTTTGAAAATTTAATCAGTTTATTCAAAAGGGAAGATTTTGATTGTTTAAACCTTAAAATATGGGATACAAAATTTGCATTTCCGCCTCCTACACCCTGGTATTGGAGAAGAAACCCTCAGTTATTTGTAATGCCTTTAGTTAGTGTTTACGTTACCTTAAAATTAAGAAATTCTTCCCCTTCTTGATCCAGGGTGGACAAAGAACTCTGAAAACAGTGTCTCACAGGTACAGTTATAAAGTATTTCTCCCGCCTTCCTAGCGAGCCTTCGTGGTGTAGTGGTCAGCACACTGAACCGGTATTTCAGAGGTCCGTGGTTCGATTCCCGGCGAAGGCGGTTGCATCTCTCTCACTTCCAAAAAGTCCTAATGTCTCTACACAGTCACCGAATGATAAGGAAACTCTGTCAGACCCATTTTATTGAAGCACTACGTACCTGAATGATAAAGCCAGTGTCCACAATGCCTTAAATGGATGAACTATGAAAAGCTTTGATAGGTACAAGTAGGATGTTTTGGCAATGGAGAAATAGGTTTCTTTGCCTCTGCGAATATAACTAGTGTCGTTCAGTATAATGGCGAAGAGAGCCTACTATGGTACCGAAGGGCCAGGGTGCGAATTCCACTGAAGACATGGATGTTTGTAAATGTATAGTGTCGGTCGGCATGGCGGCACTCTAAATATGCTGCGAGCCGAATGTCCTCTCGTGTGGATTGGTGGATGGGAAGAGGGGTTTGAGGCCCCTTTTCTCAAATTTGGGGTAGGAAAATAGAAGTCCAACCTCTGTTTGAAGTAGGCTCTGTCAAACTTTGTTCCATGTAAAATGAACAAGACAACAACATTATATGCGGCGGAGATGAGTGTAATAAACGTTTGATTAGTATATATTTCTTTTAGCTCCTGGAAATTTAAACGTAATATGCGGCTGAGTTTATTAACCAGTGAGTTTAATAAGCGGCTAGCGCTGTTTATATATGTGTATATGTAAATATATAATAAAAGAGATTTTACGACAACCTAACTAATCTTGAACTAGTCACAGGAATGCTTTCTCTTAGTGTCTGTTCGGAACAATTAAGAATTAATTTTTCGTTGGCCGCTCCGTTTCACATTTTAATTGCAATTATTAGACGTGTAGACTTATTTAATATGTCAGAGGTTATTGTATGAAATTTGTACTTAGTTCTAGTTTTCGTCTGAATTCTTCTACTTATTTTGCTATGTTATTTTATTTATTATTTCTGTATGCATTCAGTGTATTTTTCACCATTTTTTGGCTTCACACAATACTGTTTATTCTTTTCACTTTTGCCATAGTTGGTAGTTAAAATTACGTAAGGTAATTCCTCTGATTAAGTCATCAGTGGAATGCAGTTTTATTTTGTGAGTAGAATTACGTTAACTATTTTTTGTATTTTTTACATTAAAAGAATCTGATACTTTGAATCTGATATTTGAAACATATTTTTACTTGTCAGATGTTAGTTTTGATTTCCGTTTCTTTCTGATGCCCTGCTGAAGATTTCGGCAAGACATGGACATTTAAAACTATATCAGTTTGTTTTTACTAATTTGTATATGCTATTTAATTTTTTAAAAACTAGTGTTTTACATATTTACAACTTAAGTGGCACTTCTATCCAAAGGCTGTAGACAAGTTCTTTCACGGTACTATAATAGTATATTTTTAGTTTACATTTTTTTCTTATTGCAAGTTACAGTATACAAGTTACAATATACATTGCAAGTTACAGTATACATAGTTATTGCAAGTTACAGTCATATATATATATATAGTATATATATATATATGACTCCATTCTTGTTTGATTAAAATAAGAACTAAATTTAACGTTCATTTCAAGTATCTAGATATTTTTTAAATCAATCTTAAGTGTAATTAGAGTGATGCACAGGTATATTGAAACAGAAAAATAATCATATTAACTTTTTAGTGCACTAAGTTCCACATTTTTAAATTACTAATTTTAATTTTTTTAAACAGAACGATGGGATCCAGATCAGATTTCTGCAGATGATGCTATTTTTGGGGCAATAGTATCTATTTTTTCAGCCATTGAAAATCCAGTTAATCAAGTGGCAGGAATTGTTGTTATAATAGACCTGAAGCATCTGAAGCTACAACAGATTATAGCTATTAGCAGCTGGCTCATATTAGGAACACAAGCTATGCAGGTAAAATTTCTGTGAATTATTGCCCCTGTTGTGAATATTGAATTATTTTTACTGGTATGATTTGAATAACTTCCAGAGTATTATTGTTAATAACTGATTAAAACTGAAATATGAATGTAAATATTTGACCTAAACAATAAAGCTATAAATCTAATTTCTTAATAATTGTATATTTTAGTAGGTTTGACGAAGACTGTAATTTTAAGATTTTTAAACAACTCCGTTATATTTAAGTGAAAAGTTTATCATTTTGGGAAAAAATTAGGTGATATTTTGTGATATCTTGCCAAACTAAACTTTTCGAAGGCCTAGATCTTGAATCGTTTTTTCTATGTCTCTGTTAAGAGTGAAGAATTTTCATTTTCTTATTATTATGAGTAGTTTATAAAAGAAATAACTTAAATATTCTTACGCTTCTAAAATATTTAATAGAGTAATTTATGTGGCAAGTATACTTTAATGGACTAATTGTACTCTGCCTGATTTGAAAGCACATTCAAAGGGTTATTTAAAGAGAATTAATTTGGAAGTTCAGTGTGTTATTGTAATTGATGACAAATGAAATATGCCTTATTGTGATTTACTTTTAAGGGAATGAGACTGTTAGTTCATCCCAAATAACTGGCCAATTAATATTAATTGGGGTGAACTGATCAGTTCTCCATACGCCTTAAGGCTTTTTGGTTGTTCGGTCAAGAAGTTGTTCACAGTTCGCCTGTAGACCTTTTAGGAGATGAGCAGTATGCGTTTCCATATCTTCCAGACTATTGCATTGGTTAATTTCATTTTCTTTGTTCAGTAAGGTAAGTTCAAATAATCTTGTTGAGGGCTCACTATTATACTAGGACTGTAGTAATTCTGGGGGCATAAAATACACGGAACCGGTTTCTACTGCAGTAAACATCTATGCTGTCGCCGAGGCTAGGGAGCGTAAGCCATCCGAGCAGGTTGTGTAATGGCCAGAAGCAAATTTCTCAAGTAAGCTACCCAGAAATACGCTTATATGCGGTCCGGTCGTAAATTTAGAACCCCTTTTTTCACACATGGAGGTAGGAAGTAAGATGGAGTCGCCCTAAACAAGTTTCTCCGTACCCTGCTCTGTAGCACAGGCGATCCCTACGTGGTGACCAAAACATTGGGTCATTTACCATTGAGTTCTATGGGATTTGACGCGTTCGGGTGTAAATATTTTGTAATTACGTCGCAAATATACATATAAATGTATATATTTTCTTTTTCTACAACACTTCAGAGTCCTAAGTATGTGAAAACAACATATTTTTAAACAACAATTCATTCTGAACGGAATTAAATGCTATACTTTTCACAGGACAGTTTTCTCAGAATGGTTTAATTTGAATGAAATATTTTCACAAGTTTTCGTTAATTACATTAGAAAAAAAAATTAAGGTAATTCGATTTTATTCGGTTAAGGTACAAAATTAAGATCAAAGTTTATTGTATTATTAATATTAAAATTATGCATTATTTCTTTTCTATTTATAGAGCTTCTTCCTAAAATACTTTCTTAAATATGACATGATTTTTTGGCTTCTTTTAAATCGAAAAATGAAGTCCATTTATAATTAATGCCCTATTCGGTTCATTTTAAATTAGAGAATTATTAGGAATTAGCGAATTTAAAAATTAAAAAAAACAAAAAAAAAAAAAAAAAAAAAAAAAAAAAAAAAAAAAAAAAAAAAAAAAAAAAAAATATAAAAAAAAAAAAAAAATAAAAAAAAAAAAAAAAAAAAAAAAAAAAAAAAAAAAAAAAAAATAAAGAAAAAAAAATAAAAAAAAAATACTCTAATAATAAATAGGTATTAAATAGTATTTGACTTTTCTGAACATTTCTGAAAGGAAAAAAATAAGTTTTTTTTTTTTTTTTTTTTTTTTTTTTTTTTTTTTTTTTTAAGTATTTTAAACTTGTAACTGAGTTATTATAAAATGTAAAGGGAATAATTCTTTTAATTATACTTATCAGATTTTTTTTTTTTTTTTTTTACCCTTCATTTCAACAATACACATTCCAAAACTCTTTATTACGTTCTTAAGTGCGCATCTCATAGCATTTGCTTTACAGTACCTTTTAACAGATTGCTTTCCAATACGAACAATTCTTGCTTAAATAGTTTTATAACGTATTTGTCAACAGGATTTCAATTTATTGTTACAATTCAATATTAAGGTTATTATATATTTAGATAACATTTATAATCATTATAAATTAGATACATTTAATCATTAGATTTCTTCACAGTACTTTCACAGTTGTTTATAAGTGAATAAATTCTTCATTTCAAATACATTTATAAATAATTTAATGAATATTTAAGTATTTTGTCAAAGGCAGATACATGCTTTTTGCAAGCACATGCATAAATACCCATACATATTTCCTATTTATCATTTCCGGCATGTGCAAATCTTTAATTTCTGTGCATTCACTATATTTTTCGTGTAAAGTAATTTACACTAATTTAGCATACACCCGAAAGTTTTACATAAAAAATATATATCAATATAATTTGAATGAAAATTATAAGTATTATTTTTAATACCCACTCAAAGGTCAGTTTTTCTTCAAAATTCCTCCACGATGGCATCTCTCTCTTTAGGCAGATAGCCCTTGCATGCATTACTCTATTTAATAAAAACTTAATCTGACCTATGTGCCTAATTACAAATATTTAACATACATAATTTTATATTTTACATTTAGCCATCAAGTTTCAAAACTTTTCAAATCTTCTAGAAAAAAAATTTTGGAAGATCTCTTTTAGCAAATTTTCTTAAAATCTATATTTTTGTAGTGCAACAGCTTAGAATTTTATAAAACAAATTCATAATCAAAATCGCTGTTGTTAGTTATCGAAAAATAACCAAGATGTGATTTTTGCGTAAATGTCAGTAAACTATACAAATTGCTATTATCCATCCCACTATGAATGTTTCTTTCATGCGAGAGTGTCCCTTTTTCGATTTCTATGGAACTGTCGTGTGTCGAAATACTATCAGAATCTTGTCAAGCGACCTTCTGAATGTAAACAAAGAACACCCCGTCTGGTGACCCAAGCTTCAAAGCAGTGCTTCACTTCTACCGCGGAATGGCCCCTCCTCCCTTTCCTACCTCCATGTTTTCACAGGGGGGCTGAAAAGTAGGGAATAATCTTGCTCCTGGTCTTGGGCTTCGTTTAAACATCTAACTTCTCTACACTCAGTTTTATACAGAGGAAAATACAAATTGAATTCTTCGAATGAATGCAATTTTGTACAATGAAAATGTATTACTTAATGATAAACTGTAAGATAAATAACATATTTTTTTAAAGCCATAGGTGTAGAAAGACAGATATTTGTTACACGAATGAATTTGTAGTAAATATTGAGTTTTTCATTTCGAATGCTATGTTCCATGTTTGTTTGATTATAGCAAAGCATTCGACGGTTATTTGCTTAAGGGTAAGGGTGCCTCGTGGAGAACTTTCTAAGCAAAACTGACTCTTATGCACGTTACACGTGGGGAAAACGCCAATACAGCCAGCCCCGTCGATCCGGATTCGAACCCCGGATCGACCTGCCAGAGTTCAACGATTTTACAGCTCAGCCGCTAGTGAGCCACACACGCACACATCCACACATATACATTAAATAGTATTTACATGTCGTTTATAAAGTATAATTGAGTGCAATTTAATCATAAAGAGAAAATATTCTACGGAATTACTTCACTTCGTAGACTTTTTGCTAAGCTTCACCATATTTCTTAAAGAGAATCGCAACGCTGATTCCATTTCCTAGACCTTTATGTATCTTATTTTTTCTACACTGAATTATATTTAGAAAATTATTTTACTTGGTTATAGCTGAAAATGCAGTTTTTTTATTGAAGAATTTAAGGGTAAGAAGAGAATTATGCCCTTTTCTAATTATTCTTGAAGCATTTAATTTTTTTTAAAAAAAAGCGCACATTAATAAGGATCACTGAATTAAAATGCTCGATATAGGACAGATTAATTAGCTACTAAATTTTGATTTTCGTTGAGTAAAAATGAATTCATCTGCATTCTATAAGAAAGCAAATATTCAAAAAATGTTTCTTTTCCGATTCTCGCAGTCATGATATTTTCCTTAAGTATTCAGCTAATTCATATTCAAATATTGCAATCCATTACAATAAGTAATAAATCGATACAGTAAATAAATAATTAAAATCAATTAAATGGAATTTTAATTGATTTTAATTGCCATTTTCCCTCTGATAAAACCCTCTTTAGAGTTCAATAGCAGTCGATCAGATTTTGTTGGGGGGTTCATTTTTCTTTATGGTATGCTTACGTTATATATGTATGTATTATGCATTGCTCATACTCATCAATAGCAGCTTTTAATATTTTTTGGAAAAAAATCAATATGAGAATCCAGAAAATGTTTCTTAGCGACGCTAAAACTATTATTACTAGGCACTCTCATGCCACAGTGTTTAAAAAAAAATCGCATTGTTTAAAGGTAGATTCTATGCTCATATTTTAGTCTAAAATTAAAAGCTGAAAGTCAAAATTAAGGGGGTTGTTCTTAGAAAGCCTCAATTAGAAGTAGTTATAGGAAATGTTAATCAATACTTATAATCTTACGGATTAAACACTTATTCCCTATTTGATCACGTGTATGGCAAACAGATATTCGTCATTCATAAAGAAAAGAAAGGTGAATCAAAATGAGTTATATTCTTGTTTTTCCAACTGCAAAAACATCTTAAGATACTATCGGATTTAATCTTTAAATTATTCCAGTAATATTCAGAACAATGGGGGCCATTATTCTTAACTATAATTTACTAATGCAAATCCTATTTTGGTTTCAAATGGCTTTCATTAATTACGTTAATTATATACTGATATACTGATACTGAATGAGACCTAAAAACACGTTTTTTTAAATATATCTCCCCTTATGATCCCCTACACAGCCGTTTACTTTCCCCTTCCGTAATTAACGTCAGTCTCCTGCTGTTGACCGCATTTGCCAAGCCACCAGCTACCCAACCCGCCGTAGTCTTCTTACCCTCAGGATAGGTGACCCTGGGTAGCCGGTTCAGCACTGGGTAATTTTAGACAGAGTTCACATTTAAAAGTATACCGCTCATTCATTGAGACTCCATCGATGTTGCAGCAAGAGAATACAGCGAGATCATGGAGGTAGGATACCTCCATGAGCAAGATCTGCTCTCTGAGGGGGGAGTAACTAGATTTCACGTATCCTTTCCTACCTCCATGTCTCGCCTAATAGGTGCTCTTACTTAGTGTGGAGTTGTGGATTACTTAGTGCTATAAATGTTGACTGAACACATAATTGTAGATGAATCGTCTGTCCTTGGTTTTAACTGACATTTTGAACAACTCATCGATAAACTTTTGTACGCCTTTTGTTGAAATTCCGTTTATCTCGCCTGCACAAAAAATAACTTATCTAATGGTGTCATTCGACCCAGAAATAGTTCTGCATGTGCTTTTTTCGTTACTTCATGTTTCGCGAAAAGCAGTGTGTACGCTAAATCAACGATGCACCAATTGGAGCTGCTGTGATGCGTTATTACATAACAACGAATTATCTACACTATATTTCTGTTTACGCATTAAGCAAAATTTGATTAAAGTCTATATGGAATCAGTTTCAAGTTTTATGTGCAGGTTAGTGCACCTGCTTCTCAAAACTTTTTACAAGTTTAGGTCCGTTATCGGAAATTATTTTTAGTGAAGCTCCATAATTTAAAATATATTTTTAAAAGCACGTTCGCTACGTCATCAGAAGTACAACGGAATGGTATTAATTCCCGCCACTTAGAAAAATAATAAGCAATCACTACCAAATAATGTGCTTTATTTACTTGCTTTCCAGAGTAAGGGCTGACAAATCTATTTCTAAAATTTCATTCAGAAAATTAGATTATATTCTAAACTGCCGGCTATCCAAAAGGCAACACCATGAAGGAAGCATCCAAACAGCATGAAACTTGTATCATGTGTATACTGAGATGGAAAATGCAAATAATTAAGGTTTCAACGCACGCTCACATCATAGGCGGCTGCAGCGCTCCTTACAATCCCTATATAAAGGGAGAAAGGATTTACTCTTTGAATAAAATGAATTGTTCTTTTGTGAATTGTATGTACAGTTTCAGTATGCCTCGTTGGAAAACAGGAGCATCATTCGAGCACGTTTTTGAGTTCGACAGACGCAGAATCATTGTATACACAGATTGCGAAATATCTTTGCGGGAAATCGGTCATCGTGTTGGAACAGTCTTGCAAATATGGAATCGAGAATCGAACAGAAGGAAAAGACTGACGGACAGAAGAAATTGCAACCACTTCTTCGCATCACTCCACCGGAAGACAGGCATATTGTGAGCGACAGTAATGGAGCGCAGGTAATCTGTAACTCAATAATTGGTGGCACGAACAGTTCGACGTTCTTTACAGTACAATGGATTATCCGAAAGGCGTGCATTGCTTTGCCGTCCTTTAATTTTGTATCACGGGCGTTTGCGTTTGCAATGGTACACTGAACGACGGAGATGTACTTTCGAATGGCATGACAATTTGTCTTTGGACGAATCACGTTTCTGCCTGCAGTACTACGATGGTCGGATTAGAATTTTGAGACGCCATGCAGAGAGGCTGCGTGAATGTTGTATTATGCATCATTATAATGGTCCTATTCCCAGTGTTATTGTTATATTCTCAGACCTTTCAATAGGACGATGCGCCGCCACACGTTGTACGTAATGTTCAAGGTTTTTCTTCTTAGCCGACAATATTGCGTTGTTACTTTGGTCTGCCAGTTCTCCATGTCTATCACCTGTCTGATCAATAATTGCAGAACGGCTGCCCGGCAGGCCGCACCAGCGGTTACACCAGATTAACTTTGCCTACATGTGAAAGCAGTGTGGGCTGCCATTCCCCTACAAAACATCTAAAGCCTTTTTCACTGAATGCTGCGTCGTGTAGTAGCGGTTATTGACAAACGTGGAGGCAATATTTATTACGGATTTTCTCGTCTTCCTCACCTCAGAGAAGGCTGCATTTCAAGTCCATTTAAGTACTATGTGTAATCTCTAAAAAGTATTTGACTTTAATATCTTTTGTGCTTCTTCGTATTGCATTTATGACCAGGAGTGTATTTAAATAGCCGGCCGGCCTGAAATTTACATATTTACACTTCTGGCATGTGGCCCATCTTTGGGCATACTGTCCTGTAATTTGTTGCTACTTGGGAAGAACACAGCTTCCTTCTCTCTATATTGTTTTCCGTACTCACATATGTGCTGAAATTGGATTGTCATGTAATTCGTCCAAAATGTCTTGTGCGAAATCAGCTGGAATAAAGAGTCTTAATTCTAAATTTTCATTCGTTCTTTTCTGTAAGATAAAATGGCATAGATTATTTCATAAGATTTGTCCCAACCCCTAATTTTTTTATTTCATTCACTGCTTGAGACTTTTCTGGATTTTTTAAATGTGCATAAATTTGAACTAATTCTTGATCTTTCTGCAATTTCTTAAATAAGGATCTAATCAAAAGATTTGGGAACATGTGGAGATCTGACACTGGTCTCTTGGACGTAGATCAATATGGCTAATTGAATAAGTTTGCTAAAATATGGCCTTTTTTTTAAATTCTCTTTATATTGAAGGTGACAGATTCTCCCTTAAAACGTTCTCCACAGGAGCCTCAGGTATTTTACCTTAATTAAATGAATCAGTTAACCAACCTTGTCTAAGAGGCTTTGTTTCGTCTCTATTTCCTAACCTAAGGACCAATTCCATAAACATTTGCCTGTGCTCAACACCTTCACAAATATTTATACGCATGATACTACTCTTGAGTATCGTTTTATATGTAGTCTTTTAAAAGCATCTTTCTATTTATGTAATAGATTTTTGTCTTAATGAATTGAATGTATGATTTCTCTAAACTAATAATATGATAAAGTTTCTATCTTTTACAAATGATTAACAGGAACTTTCATTTCCCAGTTTTTAAGTTCACCATTGCATCCTTAATATTTCTCTAAATGTCATTTGAAATTCTTAATTTAAGTACATTACAGAAAAAATGTTTGCTTCTTAACATTTAAGGGAAACACTTCCTAAGTAATTGTTTATGAGTTTCTTGCTATTATAAATCTGCACTCAAGACGTTAGAGACGTTAATTATATGTTATAATATTGTGCACTAAATTCGTATATATGGCTAAAATGATTATCTACCCCTCTTGAGTTTTTTAAATTCTGTATTTCTGTGTATTGAATTTGAAGATAATGAGAGTTACAAGAAACTTTTTTACAATTTTTAAAACTATTGGTAACTCATCTACCTTATTATATATTACATTTGTTCGCATGTGGTTAAAGTGTTTTTGCAAAACAAATGTTTTGTTCTAAAAAGGTGCTTGATTATTTTCATATTTAGCGTTGCTGCCCTTTTATGGTGAAAGAAGTACATATAATAAACGTGCCACCAGTATTTAAAGCTGCCTGGAAACTAATAAAGCCTCTCATCAGCGATAAAATTCGGAAAAGAGTAAGTTAAATTGGTTTAAGTTTTAAAAGTAAATAAATGTTTTACCTATGCATTTCATAATTAATATTTTCATTTCTGTGTGGTAATAACTATATACCTTTTAAAAGAAATTTGATATTAGGGAGAGATGAAAGTCAGAGTTTAAGTCTCGAATAAATATGAAATAGCACAACACTTTCGTTAATCAACAATCTAAAGAGGATTGGCTGAGCAACACTTTTTTAGATCTCCTAAGCCTATACCAACGTACTAATTACATCCAATGGGTGCGATAAAATGAGAAACTAGAACTACTGTTGACAAGCTGAAACATGTATGCTTTTGTTCAATGAGTTACGGTTATATTGAAATTTTTATAAGAATAGAGAATGAAAATTCCTCTTAATATATAAAAGGTGCTCATGATTCGTATATTACAAATTCATAGTCATGCTTTTATTATAACAAAATTCAATATATATTTATACTTCTGTTTCTGTTCTGAAATATTGAATTAAATTATAATATACTGGCAGTTTCATCTTTACTTTGTTACATTCATCCTGCTAAAATTTGAATATTTTGAACTGAAAAACCCGATAAAAAAAGTCGTGCCCTTACGGTAATAAATTTTAAGTTAAAAGAAGGTTAAGAAATAAATATCTTTACTTCGATAAAAGCTCTGTCAAATTAACTGGCCCCCAAAGTCCTGCTATGCTGCCTCAACGTGGCGGGGTGTGTCACTGGGCGGAACGGGCGAAGTACGTCGGGAGCATAGCTCCTGGTAGGGCCACACTAGGCGTGAAGGCCGTTCCAACATGCCCAGCTAAAGCATAGCAGGTGAAGAACCCTCAGGGGATTGCCGTCTTGGTGATCGAGTATCACACTCCCGGGGCCCCAGTGACCTGTCCTCCTCTCTCTTTCCTCTCCTCTTGTCTAGCTCTCTTTCCTATTTTTCTCCCTTGTGGTTTCCTCTACTGGAGGTTGGGGCTCACTGTGAGATGCAGCTACTACTCTTAGTTTCTGTTTCACCATGGTGAGAATACCGCCTATGCTTTCGCCGTGCATGGTGACCCGTAGGGTGGGAAAGGAGGATCCTGGCAGTTGAGGGGCGAGGTACTGTCCCCAACACACTGCTTTGGCCTCTGCTTCTACTTAAAACGGGCGGCACTTAGCTGTCCCCGTTAGTGTCAATCGGCTGGCCACTAGTCCTATTGGTCAGTGGCTAGGGGATAAGCTCTCGGAAGTCTCCGCTTTTGGGAAAGCCGACTGTGGGGGCTTCAGTTTGCGTATAGGCCCGGCTAGCCCTAACACAGGGATCTGTGTTCCCTTGTTGGGCTCCATGGTGGGTGGGGCGGTCGGGCCCGAAACCTTCTCTCTTTTCAATATGAAAACTTTAACTTCTTCTCCTAACCATATGGATACGAAAAATTCTGGAGCTGCTAAAAGAATTTGTACTTCGACCTTAATTAGCACAAACAAATGTCCAAAGTTCTTAGTTATCACTGGTGAGCTAGAAAATCTATCACAACCATTCTTCATCCATAAGCATATTGCGGCCTCAGTAGGCGAGCCAAAACACATAAAAAAGCTCCGTTCAGGATCTCTGCTCATCGAGACTACATCTGATGCACAATCTTCCTCTCTCCAAAAAAATGACCAAAATGGGGGAACATTCTATTACTGTATCCCCACATAAGTCTTTGAACACGTCAAGAGGTGTCATTTCGGAAATAGACTTGATATCAGTCTCTGAGGATGAACTTTCAAAAGAACTCGCCGAGCAAAATGTATGTGGCGTCCGCCGAATAAAAGTCCGTAGAGACGGGCAACTCGTCAACACAAAACATCTTATTCTGTCTTTCTCCTCTCCAGAGCTACCGAAAGCCATTAAGGCAGGTTACCTGAAATTGCCCCATCAGACCTTACGTGCCGAACCCACTGCGCTGCTTCAAGTGTCAACGGTTTGGCCATGCGAAGGCCGCATGCCGGGGAAACCTGGCATGTGCTCGCTGTTCTGCAGGAGGTCACGAAAGTCAGGATTGTGTAGCTGATCCAAAATGTGCAAACTGTCATGGCAATCATCCAGCATACTCACGAAACTGCCCTAAGTGGAAAGAAGAGAAAGAAATACAGCATATTAAGACTACAAGAAAAATCTCCTATCCTGAAGCTAAGAAACTTTTTAGCACGGGTCAGTCAAAAGCAAATGTCTCCTATGCACAAGCCACTAAATCATATCGGTCAATAAGTACACAAACATCGCATAGCACACAGAAGAAGATACCTGAACCAAAACAAATGACAAAGAAAAAGTCTTTCTTCTACCTCCTCCCAAACAGACAATAGAAAGTCGAGAAATAAAAACACAAGAAACAGAGAGTTCAAAAAGAAAAAATCAAAAGCTCAGAAACAGAAAAGAGAAGCTCAAGAAAATCCGAAGAAAGCTCAAGCCGAAGCTCTATTGAAGGGACCTTTTCAGACTTTATCGAATCTGAGATGGAAACAGATGGAGGCGGAGATCTCTCGAAAAATGTTCTACCTCACAAAACAAAGAAACAGCATCGAAGCAATAAACATTCCTAATGGCTACTCTCATTTCGTGGAACTGCCGGGGCTTCTATCAGGGTATTGATGGCATTAAGCAACTTATTAATAAATATCGACCTATTTGTATAGCGATACAAGAGACATTCCTCAAACCTGGTAATTTTGCAAAGCTACGTAGGTACTCGATGACAAGAAAGGATAAGACATTCAGTGAACGCGCAAGTGGTGGTGTCTGTCTACTTACCTCACCTCAATTAATTGCCCTTCGAGTGCTCTCCCTTTGGATACTCCTCTCCAAGCAGTTGCAGTACAGTTGAGCATTCGAACACTGACTACTGTTTGCAGTATTTACATCCCGCCTAATGAGAACATTAATTAAGAGATTTAGAGGATCTAATTGCCCAACTACCAGCTCCGTTTATTCTAGTCGGTGATTTCAATGGACACAATCCCTTGTGGGGTAGTAAAGACACCAACCCACGAGGGAAAGCAAATTGAACAGCTACTCCACGACCACTGTCTCTGTATCCTTAACAACGCAGAAAGCACTTATTTTCATCAGCCAACAAGGACCTTCCATTCCATTGACCTTGCTATTGTTTCTCCACAGCTTTTGCCTTTTTTGTTTTTTTAATGTCGAGAATTATCTATATAATAGCGATCATTTTCCTATTATCATAAGCATTACAGGAAATAGGAGTGTGTTTTATACCTAGAACACCACGCTTTTTGTTGGACAAAGCCGACTGGGACTCTTTCTTACATTATGCTCTTTTTACTGAAGAAATAATAAAGAATGTGCACATTGATCAGGCTGTGAAGATCATTACAGATAAAATTATTCAAGCAGCTGATATATGTATACCAAAAACGTCGGTAAACAGCCAAAATACCCAAAGCCCTGGTGGAATCCTGAATGCCAGGACGCCATCAGAAAACAAAGAAAGCTTGGAGCATTTTTTCGGCGATATCCCTTCAGAATCAAATCTCGTAATATTCAAAAGGGCTAAAGCAAAAGCTCGGCAGGTGCGAAGGAAAAGTCAGAAGAATTCTTGGATCTCGTATGTGTCTTCGATTAGCTCTTCAACTTCGAGGTAAGAAGGTGTGGGAGAGAGTCCGGAAAGCGTCCGGTATCTACAAAGAGCACACACTTTCCATTTTAAAGACAAGTGGGTGAAGCAGTTACTAGTAGGGAAGGAATTGCCAACGCTATTGGACAGAGTTTCTCAGCCGTCTCACACAGTAGTAACTACCCTCTTGAATTTCTTTCCGCAAAAAAATGCATTGAAAAAACAACTAATTAATTCAAATCTTCTCCCAATACTGAACCATATAATCAGGATTTTACTGTGCTTGAACTGAAAAGAGCTCTGTTGCAGACAAAAAATTCATGTCCTGGTCCAGATGATATTGCCTATCCTATGCTGAAACATCTTCCTTCCAAGTCATTGGCAACCATCCTCTTTCTCTTTAATAGAGTATGGAAGGAACAAGTCTTTCCAAATGACCTGGAAAATAGCTTTTGTCATCCCCATTGTTAAACCAGGAAAAGACCCTACTAATCCGTCGAATTACCGTCCCATCGCCCTTAACTAGCTGCCTCTGCAAACTCTTTGAAAAGATGGTCAACACTCGTCTGGTTTATTATTTAGAGACAAATAACTGTATCTCCCCTTATCAGAACGGTTTTAGAAAAGGAAGAGCAACTATCAATAATATCCTACTCTTAGAAACAGGTATCCGTAGAGCGTTCGTTAGAAGAAATCATTATGTTTCCATTTTCTTTGATATAGAGAAAGCCTATGATACCACCTGGAGATACGGTATCCTTCGTGACCTATATAACAATGGTTTACGAGGAAACATGCCGATATTCATCAAACATTTCCTACAGGATCGGAAGTTTCATGTGAAGATAGGCGATACACTTTCTGACATGTTCCATCAAGAAGAGGGCGTTCCGCAAGGAAGTGTATTAAGTGTTACATTATTTAGTATAAAATTACTCTATTTAAATGAATTTCTATTTAATCCACTGCCTACTACTGCAGTCAGTCTGCCGCGAGTCATGGAAAGACATCTGAATGTCGTTGCCTTCTCAATAAATTGAAAACATTTTCAGAATTGTTTTTCTCTACTCAAATACTTTCACATACTGTTTTCTGTTCTTTCTTTCTGTGACCTTCTGTTTTCTGCCAGGGAGAAGACCTGAAAGACATTGAGAAACTGACATCTGAATTGTTAAATGGAGGAAAAGGAGATTCCTACTCAAAGACTGTGAACATTTCTGTCGAAAGAAAATTCCTCACCCAGACAACTTTCTCTGCAAGATGTGCTATTCTGTAGAAAAGGAAATAAAATTCCTAGGAATGATATTTGACCATAAGCTTACGTTCCTCCCCATATTACCTATCTAAAAAAGAAATGTTTAAAAACTATGAATATTCTGAAAGTACTGTCAAATACTTCTT